ACCTCTGACGGGGAGACATGTCGCACCCTCTAGGGTGGTCCATCCGCTTTGGTCCGCACCTGGCACTCAACTCTCACCTGTGGCTCCAAGTAGCTGTAGCACGCGCAGCGGCCACACCCCGGCAAACCGCCTCGACAGGCGGGCTAAACCAGGTGAGGGTAGCCGTCAGGTCTGAAACCCTCGGTGAACTAGGGAATGTCTACCCAAGCATGTGAAGACTGAACCCGGCGGACTGGGCGGAAGAGATAATCTGATCCAACGGCTACGAAGACGGGGACAGCAAGGTGTTGTAGAGCGCCAAGAGCACGACATGACACAGAACACGTCGGGGTCATCTACTGCAGCCAAAGAAGCTTCCGGTCGTGACGTCTCTGCGTACCACTGGAATTCAACTTCCTAGGCCGAGAGAGTGGGATCGCCCGCGTGCAACGACCCTCCCACTGTAAACAACCTCCCGCAAAGGTTCTCTATGTGCAACTTTTTCTGAACATCTCAACTCTTCTTCTGTATACCGCTATCATCAAAATCCTACGACGATGGGGAAAGGGCGAAGCAACAGGTGGAGGTACCCACTGGCAGTTGAAGCTCAAACCCTGCACGTAGGCGCCCTGGAGATAAGAGTCGCTCTTCTTTCTGACCCTGGGACAACAGAAGAGTTCGGCGCTTTCTCAGGTGACTGAACAGCCCTGTTTAGGATAGCACTGCTCACCCTCCAACGAGGGAGGAGACTAGAAAAGGTGTCCCAAACATTGCTTGTCCCATCACCTACTGGCCAGTCTACCGCGGCTGGCAGTGTTACCCCTTTTGCGGTCGAAACACAAAGAGAATGAAACAGATGATTTTCGGAGCATGGAACGTCCGAACACATATGGACAGCGAAACTTCAACAAGGCCAGAGAGGAGAACAGCCCTTGTTGCTAAAGAACTGTCACGCTACAGCTTCGACATTGTCGCACTCAGTGAAACTTGGCTAGCAGATGAAGGATCCGTTGCTGAGCTCAAAGGAGGATACACCTTCTTCTGGAAAGGCAAAGCTCAAGCCGAAGAAAGAATCCATGGGATAGGTTTGGCAATCAAGACTTCAATTCTGAAGCAGCTGCCATACCTCCCTTCTACCATCAACGAACGCCTAATGAAGCTTCGTTTTCCACTAAACGCCTCCCGACATATTACAATCATCAGTGCATACGCACCAACAATGACCAGCAGTGATGAAGCAAAGGAAACCTTCTATGAGGATCTGAATAACCTCGTAAAGGAAGTACCCAGTACCCAGCGGAGATACACTCTTACTGCAGGGCGACTTTAACGCAAGAGTCGGCTCTGACTACACGAACTGGAATGGCGTGCTGGGACCACATGGAATGGAGAAGATGAACTCCAACGGCCTGCTACTTCTGAGCCTATGTGCAGAGAACAACCTGACAATCACCAACACCCTTTTCGGCAAGCTGACAAGTACAAATCAACTTGGATGCATCCAAGGTCCAAACAGTGGCACCTGATTGATTACATTACCTGCCGCAGACGACATGCTAGAGACTTCAGGACTACCAGGGCCATGCGAGGAGCAGAATGTTGAACTGACCATCGACTCGTCAGATCTGTCGTCAAGCTCTACATCGCCCCAACTCGTCAGAAGAAGCCCAAGCTCAACCGGCCGTCATTCAACATCGCCAAACTCAACCATTCAGACCACTGAGACCACTTTGTCAACAGCCTGGACGACAAGATGACCTCCCACGGACCACTCACTGGAAGCCCTACGCAACAATGGGACCAGTTTAGCTCGATGGTGAAGGGATCAGCTCAGTCGATACTTGGTCCAAAGAAGAGAGTGCACCAGGACTGGTTCGATGAGAATGATCAAGCCATCACCCAGCGCTTAGACGAGAAGCAGAAGGCATTTGTGGCCTGGCAGAATGATCATTCCTCCATCTCTAAGCGTGATCACTTCAAACACCTTCAGCACCGAGCCCAGACCACCCTACGCCACATGCAGGATGAATGGTGGAAGAACAAGGCCCAAGAGGTTCGACTATGGGCTGATATGAAAAACTGAT